GGTGTGAAAACGATCAGATCATTAACTTTCAGCATAATCACCATCTGAAAAGACCTTATGATGCCAGCTATTGTTTGCAGAAGACATATGTTCAATTAATATGATTTTTGTTTTTTTCAGAGAGAGGGAAAAGAAATCCCACAGAGAGTAACGTGTCAGACTAATAGAGATTTGTTTATTGTTGTTTTCTCTCTGCAAGTTTTAGAAGTTATGAAGCCTATTAATATGGTTCTTAAATATCCAGATAACTTAATCTATTGCATAGATGTATTTCTATTTTTTAATTTGTTGTTAACGTTGACATCTTGCTTAGCAACAAGAAACCTTATGATAATATTGTTATAATGGCAGATGATTTCAAATCCTGTACAGCACAGTGTAAAGTCACAGTGTGAATCGTTGGGTCCATGTATTGATATTGTGGATCATGGGGTCGATCATGCAGGCTGCCTGAGATTGATGAAAATCACACTAATACATTTTCATGCTAAGTTCATTACATTTATCGCCATGATGTTATCTTTATGCTGGGTGAGGGTTTAGGGAATGAGAGACACTGCACTAACGAGGCAACTAAAGTATGTGTAAGTATGTGTGTCTGTGTGTATGTGTTTGAGTGTGTCTATGTCAGAGTGTTGCATTCCTTAGCAGCTAGAATGGTAAGGACACTATCTGGCATTCCAGCTGTTGTGGATCAAAATGCAGTTGATATTCAGCCTCTCTATTGCTCTTTCTCTCAGTCCGCTGATCATAAAACCAGATTATTCTATGAAGTTATCTTTACAAGAGTAGTGAGGAAATGCCACAGCCGTGGAAGCCACAGCATTAGTATAGAGTTGCAGGGATCTGTGTAATTTATGCACAGAGTGATCCCATCAGAAAACCACTAGGCACCATGGATATTTATAAAATTATTTGTGTGTGAGTGTATGAATTTGAGTATCGTGTGTGTGTAAATAAATATGTGTACATGCATGTTTGTGTGTGAATGTCTGCATATGAATGTGAGTGTGGGCGTGACTATAAATTTGAGTATGTGAATATACATGTGTGTATAGGAATTTGAGAATGTGTTTATGAATGTGAGCCTGTGTGCGTATGAATGTTTGTGTGTATATGAATGTGAGCATATGTATTTATAATTTACTAAATCATTTTCTTAAAATTAGAGACAACAAAAGCAAAAACATCTACAGTTGGGTGGAGGGGCAATTTACAGATAGAACAAACTGGGAAAAGTGAAATTAAGGCAGCTTTCCTCCAAAAGGAAGGGAATCCCTTTATTCCTATAGTAGTGAGGTAAGTACAAAATATAAAAAAGTGTAGAGGATTAACGCCACTCTAAAAAGACACTGGTGAGGATATTATAACCAGCATAAGATGCCTTAAAGACAAATAAATAGAAAATCAGATAAATAGAAAATAAAATATTAAATATATGCCCAAGATAGAAAGTCCAATAAAAGATGATGGTATATACTTTACGGAGGATCAATCACAAACTTATTCAAGGAAAATGTTCTTGTTGGGATATCAGATGTGGTCCGTATGTGGGAAAAAAGGAGACGATAATGAATATTCTCTCCTTCTTTCCACATCTGCTGGCGCTAATCCTCTACACTTTTTTTTATATTTTGTAGGTAATTATTGCAGTTTATAAACTCTACAAAAATTACCACTCTAGGGTAAAGGGTGATGGGAGTTTGCACACAGACCACTTCAATGAGCTGAAGTGGTCTGGGTGCCTACAGTGTCCCTTTAACCTACCCATCATATTTCTGACTTGGAGTCCAGGACTCCACTTACTTTCTGTATGGATTTACAGTCTTTCTCTTATGGGTATGTAGTACACCCTCTTTCTATGGTTCACCAAGGTAATAGTCTATTGTGCATACAGGGGAATATATTTTATTAGTTACATTTTTTTACCCCCCTTCTAAACTCTCCTGATTTACAAACATTAACCTCTCTTCTCTATATCTCTACTGCTGGGTAGCCTCTATATACTTTAGCCCTATTGTTATTTGTTGTGGTTGCATTTGGGGTTGTTTTCTCTTGTCCAAATAGGAGTTTCCTATCTATTTGTTATTTCTATCCATTACAGAGCAGTTACCATCCACCTCTAATAGTCACATAGGGAATGGTTCTTATTTATTCTAGGTCAAGACCCCCTATCACTAATTGTTGTATACCCTTGTTCACATTTATGCAGACATATTCATATGTCCTCTTCTTCATCTTTTGAGTTTTATTTACTAAAGTTATTTCAAACTATTATATATGATTTTGTCCTCAGTCCTACTTGCATCTCGCCCTTGTGCCCAGTTACTGGTAAGTATGGTCTATTATTGCATGCATCAAGCCGGAGCCTATACACATTTTCTTCATTAGTTGAACAGACAGTTTGATTAGATGACATACTGATTTCTTATATATTTGCAGAAATTTAGTTGCCACAACAGACTTGGTCAAAGGAAGTCAATAGATAGCCAGCTGTTTTGCACTGCAATTCTAACAAGTCTTATGGGGCCAGTGACTGGTCAAATATTGAGCTACTATGCAAAAATACATAAAATATTGTGTTTATATTCATAGGCATGCGCACGGGGTGTGCCGGGTGTGCCTGGGCCCACCCTAATCCCCACGGTACGCCTTTGGAGTGAGACCAGCAGGGGAGATCTCTATCCGAACGCTGGCTCTGCTCTAAGCCTCCCTCCCCACTGCAGCAGGGAGGGAGGCAGGAGAGGACCCGGGGAGCTCAACCAGCAGCTCCGCCAGGTTCCTCTCGCGAGATCTGAGCATTGCCATGGCAACGCTCAGATCTTGCGAGAGTGAACTCTAGCCCCACAGGGGCTAGAGCTCACTCTCCACTGGACCACCAGGGAAAGCAGCAGGAACAAGAATCCCCCCTCCCTTCATAAGGTAAGAAGGGAGGGGGGATATTAAGTAATGTACCCCCACCTCCACCCCCCACAATCACCCACACACATATAGCACACACACACACATACAGCACACACACACACACACAGCACCTACACACATACAGCACCTTCACACATACAGCACGCTCACACACATACAGCACACACAGCACACACACACATACAGCACACACACACATACAGCACCCACACACAAACAGCACACACATACAGCACCCACACACACACAGCACCCACACACAGCACACACATACAGCACACACATACACAGCACACACACATACAGCAACCTCACACACATACACACAGCACACACATACAGCACACACACACACATACACACACAGCACACACATACAGCACCCACACACACAGCACCCTCACACACATACAGCACCCACACACACACAGCACCAACACACACAGCACCCACACACATACAGCACCCTCGCACATACAGCACCCACACACATACAGCACCCTCTCACACACAGCACAGAAACAGCACCCTCACGAACACACACACAGCACCCTCACACACACAGCACACTAACAGGACCCTAACAAACACACACACACAAAAACACCCTCACACACATACAGCACACATACAGCACACAAACACACACACATCACACTAACAGCACCCTCACACACAGCACCCTTACACACACACACACACACACAGCACCCTTACACACACAACACCCTCAAACCACCCTCAGCACACAAAGGTGTGTATGTATGTGTGTGTGTATATATATACACACATATACATATACACGCGGCGTGTGTTTGTGCTTTAGGGTGCACACCCTAATGCAATAGGCTGCGCACGCCTATGTTTATACTTTCAAATCATTCATACAGAGTGTCCAGCATTTATTCTAAAGGTCTGTGGGTGGTAGGCATGTTTTGTGCCTGGAGATATTGTTTTGTTTGTGAGGGGGCTTCCTTAGAATATTTCCCTGGTTGGTCCTAAACCCCCTCGCTACCTTAAGGGAGCTTCCTGGTCTGCACCTGCAGATCACTTTAAGAGGACCCAGGCTTCTCAATGACTCAGAGCGCACAGCCAGCACACTGAGTCATTGACAGAGCGCCAGATGGGGAGGGAGATATTAAAATTATCTGCACCCAATAGGCACTTCCTGGTGGTTAACTAACTTTTGGTCATCTAACTGATGCTGGGCATGAGGACATCCAGCGTCAGTAAAATCCCCATTGGAAAGCATCGCAGCAATGCTTTCCTATGAAGAGGGCCTAAAGCATTTGCAACGTTCGGCATTCTGCCGGATGACGTTGGAGCAGGTGGAGCGCCGACCCAGAATCAAGGCAGGTGAGTAAACAGAGGTGTTTTTTTTAACTCTTTACATGCTGAGGAAGGTGGGTTGGGAGGTGAGGGAGACCAGAGGAACTACAGTGTAAAGAATACTAATTTGTATTTCTTACACTATAAAATCCTTTTAGGAATAAGTATATGAAAACAACAAAATGCCGTTTTAAATTTGCAGTGTGTTATGTTTGGGAAATATAAAGTGTCATCTGCTGAAAAAATATAATAAACTTCTGCACATTTTTTATAAGCAATAGATAGTACAGCTAGGCTAATATGACGTGGGACTACAGGGACTATATTTTTAGAACTAAAATTAGGAGCATAATATTTCCCAAATGACATGACATAAATTAGAAGTGCTATTAAATACTATAATAAAGAAGCTGTAATAGTTTATTATTCTGTTCAGTACAACCACATTCTCTACACATAACCACAGGTTTCTTACGAGCAATTTAACTTTCATTTTGCCCTCTGTAGAGACTTTGTGGCTTTTTCACCTAACCATAAACCATGAACATTTCACAAGACAATAGCAAATTTGCAAAACGTTTGTAAGTTCCCAACAGTTCCTTCTTGAACTTGTGCACGAGAAGGTTTTACATTTGGAATTGTCTCTACAAGCACAGGACATGACCACTAGTGATGTTGCGAACCGTTCGCGAACTTGCCGTGAACGGATCACCGCGGTTCGTCACGAACCGTTCGTGGCGAACTCCGGTCAGCTGACACATCCCTGCCAATCTCCGGCAGACCCTCCCTCCGAGACCCTCCCACCTCCTGGACAGCATCTATGTTGAAGCTGCCTTCAACATGGATGCTGTCCAGGAAGTAGGAGGGTCTGGGAGGGAGGGTCTTCCGGAGATTGGCAGGGATGTGTCAGCTGACCGGAGTTCGCCGCGAACGGTTCGTGGCGAACCGTGGCGAACCGTTCACGGCAAGTTCGCAAATGGTTCGCAACATCACTAATGACCACTAACAGGTGCTAGTTTTTAGCCTCTCAAGTGATTTAGCCACTATTGAAAAATATTTATACATTCAAAATAAGGCTTGTTTTGAAGTTTAGTTTTGCTTACATGCATTATTCCTCAGAATATCTTTATAGCGTTGAATACAGTACTTTGTATTAGAGATCACTTTGGGTCATAGGTCCCATCATCGGTTTCGCATATATAGCAATGTCAGAGGGTGTGATTAAAGGGGTAGACCAGTAATAACAATTGAGTCACTGGGTTTGTCCATAGGAATAGAGGCAGGTTCAACTGCTTTCAGGTCAGCCTAGCGTAAATGCACATCAGGATGCCTGCCAGTCAAACAGACCAGGCCACTGCGGGCTGTCCATGCAAGTAGAACTGTATCGGTGCTCTCTAATGGTTTTAGTGCCCTGAGTGTGATCAAATGATGCACTGTGCTTTTTGGGACAGTTCTCTGGTTTCCCCAAAAGCGGAACATTAGGGAACAAAGTCTGGACATGACCCTCAGTATCAGTACTGTCTGACCATAATCATTACAGTTGGAAGGCCTGGTGTGGGTGCTTTAATTTTGGAAGTCAGTTTTTTTGTTTTTCTTATCATATGTGTCAGTTAAATAACTCATCAAAGCTTTTTCATTTGATCTTTTAATTTGGTGTGATATCACACTAAGTGCTCTGCTGTCTAACTTGTTTACACTCATACTGGTTGTATTTTGCTCCAGAGGTTTTATTGTAAGTAAGAAGTTGTAATTGATGTGCTATTTTTAATCTTGATTATCGACATAGTTATTGCATGGAATCTTTTATAGCTTCTTTGAAAAGTATTCTTAAATGTTTTTGTGATAAATTTATGTTATTTTTAATAGAGTGACAAAAAACTATCTATATTTTTTTCAATCATGTGATATTATATCATATAACAGTGTCAAAAACAGGATAACAATGAAGTGCTACTCTTCTATAGTCTAACACGTAAAGCAGCTCTGTCACCTTCTGGAGTCTTTGCAGTGTGGTGGCTCGGGGGTGCAAGGCAAGGTAGGTTACTAACCTGAACTTGAGCCTCTTGGCCGCCACCACCTCGATCTGGTACATCCTCCTCAGCTCCTGCTACTTCATCTGCCAGAAGCTGATGTCAGTGCTATACTCTCACACATGTGCACATGTGTACAACACTGATGTCTATGGAGAATCCCAGGAAGCTGCGGGAGACCCCATAAATAAGGACTTTTCCCCCATCACTATTGGTGTTTGGGGGCTTGACAGCAGTAGCCTGTCATGCATTCTCAAGTGTAGGACAAATTACATAAGACTCAGTAATACCTATTGTGTCTTATGATATCTTTTTACTATCATGAAATTTCACACAGGGTATTTATTAAGGTGAGAATTCAGTGTGAAAGCATAGCTTATTTAGAGAATTTTTCAAGTTCAGCCATTTTATTACCTAAAATTTGGAGTTGTAGGTTTATATTTTAAGGGTCACTCTAAGCACCATTTCACCTTTGCATAGCATATGCCTGCTGTATGAGTTTAAAACATTTCCACTCGTCCTGTGTGATGAGTGAAAATGTTATTTGAGGATAAACTGCCTATTTCATAAACCGCTGGTGGACACGGTATTATGAGATAATAATGGAGCTGAAAGTCAAGAATGAGATGCTTTTGATTGAAGGTCTCTTTCTATTTAAGGAGGGGTCAGCAGCAGGCAGACCCACTAAGCAGTGATTTAGCTGGGACCTTTTAAAATAAATATCTATGTTTTTTGCATTATTTTTGCATATACTATCTAACAATGCCTTGAAAATACATATTTTTACCCGAGTTTCCCTTAAACGGAAGCATTAGGAATACAAACATGTATTCCTAAAGGCTATTGTTTTATCCTATCTATTTTAGTGTATGTCCCTCATCTCCCACACCGTAAAGGTTTAAAAGGGTAACATTTACTTACCTGTAGCCCCTCGATGTACTGGTCTTGCTGCGGCTGCTCCACCTTCCCAGCTAAGATCATCAAGAAGGTTAGTGTTCATGCTCGGCAAACTACCACGTTGCACAATTAAATACTGTATTGGAGCAGCTTTTGATTGAAAACAGTGTTCTGACAGGAGAACCTTCTCCTCTAGTTGCTGTCAGGAAGACAGGTACTAGTGGTGTGTTAACCCTGCAGTAGAAGCATCACGGCTTTAACAAAACTGCAATGTTTTACATTTCAGTGTTAAGGGCCACAGTAGCCATACTGGTCTGGGTGCCCTTAGTGGTCCTTTAATAGTGGATATTTAGAATTTAGTAATGTAAATGACAGAACCATAGATATGACATGTGTTTATGGAGTACAGCATTGTGTTTGCCAGAATAGCTTTAATCATGTAACATGTTTCTGGCTGAAACATCGTCGTTTTTTATTTGTGTTCAGTGCTATGTGGTTTTAATAAAGAATAACCTTTTGCTTTGTACTTCCATCATGATCTCGATTCTCTTTTGGAAGATTGAATGTGCTGCAGAGGAACGGATCTGCATTGATCCTGAGCTCCACAGATGGTGATCGTGTGAGATCACAGCTTCTGAGTGCGGAACGTGTGTCTAGTGTTTATTGCTCACTAATGTGATGTCACAAGCTCTTTGAAGCCACTCAGTCCACAACTGCCAAGTACAGAAAAGCAGAATGAAGAGGAAATTTAGTATGTTAAGTATCTCTCTAATCTCCTTTAAAGCCTTAAACCCTGGCTCGCATATATGAAAACATTATTGTTTTTACAAGTGTACGTTCTAAAATGTATATTTTTTCCTTCTGTACACATTGATGAGAACCTGTTGCAAGAATTACAAGACAGTGGATACTATGTAAATTACAATTGGTAAAATGCTCACAAATTAAACAATTATAATTTCTGGAATTCCTCAAACTCAAATATCATTTGGGGTTAGCTGTCAGTACAATCAAGACATATGGTTCTGCATTAAATTTTCTAATGTCTAATCTGACCCAAGATGACATTTACCTCAGGTTGCTAAAAGGGCTATCGGTTTGCCGTCCTTTTACTCCGAGATACACTTCCACTTGGGATGTGGATCTTTTATTAAACTACCTTAACTCTTTGGACAATGGCCAGATTGACCTAAAATGGACGGATATTAAATTAGCATCCATTATAACTTTAGCCTCTGGCAGCTAGAGGCTCAGAATTAGCATAGATATACATTGTTGAACCATGGTTGTCTCGACTCCATGGGGGTTTCATGTCATTACAATTTTTTCATGACCGTATACTGAGTGCATGTCTGTCAGTGTATTTTTATTTTGTTTATTTCATGGGCTTTGCATGCTTTGATCTTTGTTTAAAATAATATTGTTTTAAATATCTTTATTGGTATCATGTCAGAGGCTTGGTTTACAATTATACTTTAACATAATGTTTAGTCGCCTTCGCAGAGGCGTTTTTCTCATTGCATCAAACATGACATTTAGTTGCCTGCGCAGAGGCGGTTTGATCATATAATTTGCGGCTTTATCATCTGACATATTTAGCGTGTTGTGTGTGGTTTTGCCTGTGTGTGCGTGTTGTTCGGTGATTGTGGTGCGCATTCTGGTGCATGTTTTGGGTCTCGTCGCGTGTTGCAGCGCTTCTTGACGCATCTATGGGCTGGGTCAGCCCACGTTGATTGCGTTTGAATCGTTCTTAAGGCTGTGTTTAGTTGATCATTGTATGGATGTGTGGTGTGAGTACTTGTTGCGTTTTGGGTGTCTGGGTTGCTGTCTCTTATTTGGCGTCTTTCCCGCCCATCCCCGTTGTGGCCCCTGCCGTCTTGTCGTATTGCTTGTTGTCGTGGTTTTTGCGGGATCTGCTGGGGTCTAGTGGGTGGCACGGTGTCTGAAGTGTCAAGTGGTTTCACATCCTTGAGTTGTCACTGTGTAGTTCCTTGGGTCGGGGTGTTTCCATTACTTCGGTCTTGCATTTGTTTTAAGTTTCTAACAGTTGTGTTAGTGTGTGTGTCTGTTTTGTTTTTTTGTTTATTGTTTGGGAGGGGGGCCGTTGTAGCGGCCCGTACCTCATGTGATCGTGTCGGATGTTTGGGGGGTGTTTATGTTGCGCCATCATGTCTTGTTCGGTTCGTACTTGTCCGCTTTAGTCTCTTGGATTGTTCCCTGGTGTCTGTGTTGTGTGGGGTTGGTTATGTCATGCGGGTGTCGTCTTAGCGGGTGGTTGCGGTTGTGTTATGTGTCTTCTTCTCTTCGTCCGATAGTGTGGCCTTCTCTTGTGTCTGTGGTCGTTTGTTTGAGTGTGTTAGTGTGTGTGCAAGGGTCCTGGGGAGGGTGAGTGAGGGGGTTGAGGGTTGGTGGTCAGTTATCTTGTCCCCTGTCACCGCCCTGGTCCGCCCAGCCCCGGTGCCTCCCGAATCCCCGCCTGGGTCTGTCTTTCTTTCATTCGGTCATCTCGGGAGAGTTTGGTGTGAGACGGCGTTGGATGGGGTCCGATGTGGTGTGGCGTAGCCAGTGGAACCAGCGTTGTGTGTAGCGGTCTCTTTGCCTCGGGGTGTGTGCTTTCATGTCTTCGAATTTCCGTGTAGCTTCCACTTCTTCCACCCAGCGTCTCAGTGGGGGTGTGGTGCTCTGCTTCCAGTAGATGGGGATGGTCACCTTGGCCGCGTTGAGTAGTCTGGGGATAATGGATCTGATATATGCCTGCGTTGGCATGGTTGTTTTGTGTAGAAGGAAGGCGGCTGGGGTCTCTGGCAATAGCTCATCTGTTATATCGTGTATAGTGTTCCTGATCGTCTCCCAGTATGGGCGGATCTTGGGGCATGTCCACCAGATATGTGTGGACGTTCCCACTGCCTCCTCGCACCTCCAGCAGGTGTCTGTTATCTCCGGGTTTCTGGCGTGGAGCGTTGATGGTGTCAGGTACAACCTGGTGAAGATTTTGTATGAGTTCTCCTGTAAGCGCGCTGAGCCCAGTGTTTTCTGTATCAAGGTGATGAGTGTGTCCCATTCTGCCTCTGTCATGTGTTCGCCTAGGTCTTTCTCCGACTGTCTGATGCATGGGGGTGCCAGTAGGTATCTGCTTGTAATTAGAATCGAGTTGATCTGTGATATAGCTCGTGGCGGTTCCTTGTCTTGCGTACAGAGGAATTCAAATGATGTTGGTTCTCTCAGGAGGGATGGTTTCTGAGGGATAGATTGGGCGTATTGTGCCATTTGCGCTCTTTGGAGTATGTGCATGAAGGTGAGTGGTCGGTCCGGGAATAATTTGTTCAGTGGCCGGATGTTGAAAGAGCACTGGAGGATGTCCTTCATTTGGATGATTGGCTTGTGTCCTATTGGGTTTGGGGTTGGGCCCATGTCTCCTGTCGGGAAGTCTGGGTTGCCTCTCAAGGGGAGGAGCGGGCCTAGGTTTGTCAGGTATTGTTTCATGCCCTGTCTGTGCCAGACTTGCATGGTAGCCGCCACGAATGGGTTGGTGATGTATTTGTGTTTGTATGTTGTTTTAGGAATTCATGGTAGTGTTCTGAGGTTGCAATTGGTCTTTTCCGATTCTAGTTGGGTCCATGGTTTCGTGCCGCTGGCCACCGTCCATCTGATGATTCTCGTGAGGTGTGCCGCATGGTAGTACTTTTCAAAGTCCGGCATCGCCAGTCCCCCATGAAGTTTGGGAAGGATCAGTTGGGCGTGTGCTACCCGGGGAGATCTGCCCTTCCATATAAATCTGCGGACTTCCATTTTCAGTGCCTTGAAGAATGATTGTGGGGCTAGTATCGGGACTGTTTGAAATATGAATAGCAATTTGGGGAGCAGTGTCATTTTGACCGCGTTCACCCTTCCTAGCCATGATATGTAGTAGGAGTTCCATTTGTGTAGTTCCTCTGTTGCCTTTTTCAGTATTGGGAGGTAGTTGTGCGTGTATAGGTCTGCTTGGCTGGGTGTAAGCCAGACCCCTAGGTATCTCATTCGGTGGTCGCACCAATGGTATGGGTGTTGTCTCTGAATCGTTTTTCTGAGTGCGTGGTTGACGTTCAGGTTCAGGATCTCCTACTTCGAGTGATTGATTTGGAGGTTTGAAAGTCGGCCATATAGTTCGAATTCTGTCTGTATGGCCCGGAGGGAGGTCTCTGGGTTCGTAACCACGAACAAAAGGTCATCTGCGTATGCCAAGATTTTATGGTGCGAGTTTCCGATCCTCATTCCTTGTATGTCTGTATTCCGTGGGATCTTGTTAATGAAGGGCTCCACTGTCAGTGCAAACAGCAAGGGCAAGAGTGGGCAGCCTTGCCTGGTTCCGTTGTGGATCTGGAACAGATCCGATAGTGCGCCGTTGATCCTGATCCGTGCTGTTGGGTTTGTGTATAGCGCCGTCACCCAGGTGAGGTATTTTGCCCCTACGCTGAATTGTCGGAAAGTTTCGAACATCAGTTCCCAGTCCACTCTGTCGAACGCTTTTTCTGCAGGAGTAGTACCGGTGTCCTTTGTGTTTTGGCGTGGGCTATGATGTTCAGGGCTCTGATGGTGTTGTCCCTCACCTCCCTGCCTGGGATGAATGCCGTTTGGTCTGGGTGGATTGATGCAGGTAGCAGCGCTGGCCTAAGGGTTTGGCTGGCGCCGCGTCTGGGTGTGTTGAGACGCAGTGTGCGCGTGGGGGGTGTATTGCGTGTTCAATATTACATACAGTAGTTATAGCGCAGAAAGCAGGTATTAGTTAAATCCCCCTGCTGGCTTTCTTAAAATAATATTGTGAACACATTGTGTTTCTTGATCGGAAACCCACTGTCTGGTTCTGGTATCATAGTGCATCATAATGAAAGTGTTAATCTGAGACATGGACCTAATAATAAAAATCCTTTAATTTAAGGATTTTCCTTTTTTTGTGACATTTGACCATCCCTTTATTAATTTGGACCAGAATTCCATTAAAACTGGTGCAGCATAACTAAACCAATCTTAATTCTCAAATGTATGCAGTCCTCTTTTCTGTAGTCCATGGATGTCACAGAGACATAAATAAGTTAGTGAAAAGCTGAACAAAAAGGGAATAGGAAAGAGGGGTAAACTTTGAAGATGAAATTCATACTGCAGCTTTGAATGTACATGCTTCATTCAGAATCCCCAGCATATCCCATATAAAGGTCAGCATACAATATGACACATTTTCTAAAGAACTCATTTTACAATGAAACAGAAAACTGCATTCATACAGAATGACAACAAGAACACAAAGCCAGATGCATAATGCTTTTTCTTGATCTGTTGGAAATATGCAGCTGGCTATGATATGTTAAATTAATAAAAAAATGCTTCTGTAGTCATCATAGGGAAAAATAATCATATGAGTGGCAGAGGGATGTTAGACTGTTACTACACAGATATTTTTTAATCATAACAAGCTATATGCAGCTCATTTTTGTTATATCACAATATAAAACATAAGATGAGGGCACTATATAAGAATTAATAAAAGTAATTTCACACACACACACACACACACACACACACACACACACACACACACACACATATTTATATAAATATAACATTTGTTTTAAAAGTGTTACTATGTGAAATAAAAGTAAAATAGAGTGTTGTACTTTTAAGGGAAAGTTTAGGCAATTTGGGTTTGTCTGGATAAGTAAGATAAAATAACATTTTAGTTATTGAAGTCCTTGCTGCTTACATCAGCGCATGACAGCCTTCACCGCATAACAGTCACCATAAAGAATAAATACAGTGCACGTAAATGCACCGATTTACCTCACTGCTCTCTGATAAAAAGGGGACTTACTGCTCCAATGAAAGGGTACTATTGAGGGTAATATTTAGAGTCATTAAGCTTTTTGCTTGCCATCAGATTTCTTTTTTGCTGGTTGTTTGTGACACTATAAAATATAAATAGAATAAATACAAATATAATCACAGATTGGGCTGCTTGTGGACTTATCCGATTCAGAGTATAGTGCCCTCAGCTGCTTTATAATTGGGAATTAATTAGTCAAATATTTATGGTATCATATATGAGGTTTACATACTTATCCTCACAATTCTTAAAGGGTGGCTCCGAGCAACATAACCACTATAGCCCGCTGTAATGGTTATGGTTCCTGGAATGCAAACAATTTTGCAATGATTTGCCACTTACATGAGTAATGAATGTTGATTAAATGTAGAGGAGACATAGGACAGATGGGAGAACAGATCATCTTTGTGTGTTAGTGCAATGCTTCTCAACATTTTATGGAAAACTTCCCCTGCAGATAAAAATAAAATTCTAAGTACACCTGCCTCAAGAAAGTAATTTCTATTCCAAATGAAACCTTTAGACACAGATATTTAAGTTAATCTTATGTTGGAGAACATGCTTGACACACACACTCACTGATCTGACACACACTGATTTGAGACATAATTACAGACATGCACTCACTGACAGACACACACATGCTGTGATTTGACACACTGACAGACACACGTACCGACACACAAATTCACCGACAGATACACACACTCACAGATGCACACGCTCACTGATTTGGCACATACCACAGGTTGAGAAACTAGGTGTTAGCGCATTCCTATGGCTACACAATATTTGCAGGAATGTGTAAGCATTCAGAATACCACTATTTATTTTGTATAACCTGACATCATTGCATTAGTGATTTTTACTTACGGCCTACTTTTTATGGGATTTGTCAATAAAGAAAATGTGTGCTTTAATGTGAATTCTGACAAAATAAATGGTTTTATTGACTTTTTTTTTTCTCCTACAACAATGTAAACATTTCTGGCTTCACAGGGTGTCCATTTAATTGCAGTGAAACCTCCCTTTGAAGTAGTCAATCTAGATGAAATGCTGAGTGCATTTTGCAGTTACAGTATTGCCCAAATTAGCTTGTAAGCAATTGCTGAAGGTGTTTGATACATGTTTGATCAGAAGCTGATTCTTATAAGGCATCACCACGTTAATCATGCATTTCCACTCAGTGTCTGCTTCATTGAAAGCCCATTCACTCTTCACAGGCCAATTTGACAAGCTACCTACTGTACACATCTACACTATAAGTCAATTGTAGGTTTTACTAAACTGACTATGCAAGCAAATGTATTCCTTCTCTTAAAATAAACACATAGACTATTTTTCCAGCTTGTATTACTTTGTATTTGTTTAGTAACTATTATTGTATGGTATGTGTTATTCTCTGTGTAGTCTGGTTCCCTATTGTTTTATAATTCCAATATCTCATAACACAAATTATTTTTATTTTTCCTGCACAGTGTGCTTGAGCTCAGCTGTCAACCATGTATTCATTTTTCCCATGCGAGACATATTGTTGGTGGGTTCTACATTATTAAAAATGTCTGTTGCTATTATACTATGTCAGACAATTGATACTGCCAATGAAATAAATAAAGCAAACTCTTCAAGTACGTCTTATTTTCAATCATGCATAAAGCATCTGCTAGCTAATTTTGCTCTAGCTCAGAATAAATGTGCTCTCATGTCTAGTAATGCTCTTGGAATCTCATTTTATTGGTCCTATAAAGACTATTTCTGTGAAGTGTTCACAGCAGGAAAATGTGGACGTAGAACTTCATTTGACCTTTACGAGCAGATCCATGATAATGTTGACTAGCTACAAATGTCTGCTTTCTCCATTACAGCTGAAGCATGTCAGACCTTCCATAACTTCCTAATAAAATAGTTCCACTCGTTTTAGTTAATCAAAGCAGGCTTGACTTTTATGGAATTATTGCATTTTGATTTAAACATGGAGTCAACAGAGCGGGTGTCAGATGCTTGAACTGTTTAGCATGGTGTTTTAACAACTGGCTGTAAACATTGCTGTAAAATAATACGTTGAGATAATTAAGTAAGATCATAGGTATTGTTAGGGATGGTTTCAAGGACTAGAGCCCCAGAAGATGTGGGGGTTATTATTCCCGGATCCCTTCAGATGGCAAAATACAAGTGGGCATGTAGTAAGAGACATAAGACATGTTAACGGTGATGGGGAGAGATACCCGAAGGAATGAGGAAATAAAGAAGGACACAACATTGGTGAAGACTCAGAGAGATAGAGAGATATAGAGAAACAAAAAAAGTTAAGGATAGTGGATATGTGACAGCATTTTGAGGCTGGAATACAGGATTAATAAAGGATGAATGGTATTGGTCCTTGTTTGCTGCCTTGAGAGAGATATTGTGTTTTAATTTGGGCTAAAGCCCGAAGTGGTTTTCAAATGTCTTGAATTAAACTGAAATATACAATTTGAATATACAATAACTATTCGCAACCAAACCAAGTTGAGACTCATACCATCTAGTTAGGCTGTTTGTCATTAAAATGTTTTTTTTTGTTTTTTTTATCAATGGTAACCTTTAGACATTCATTCTACCTAGTCAATAGTAAAGTGCTGTTATATACACTGAGAGGAGTTGTGTAGGCAACTGTTAAGTAAATCTCGCCTACATAAGCCCAGTTTTATACTTTCAATCATAATACTATTGTTTCCCACTCGTTTCCAGTTCTTTTGTGGACCAAGGTGCCAGTAAAATGACAATGTGCTCTCAAAGCTATTTGCTTGTGTGCAGAACCTCTACTCAGTCGTAAGACTATGTTTAAGTTAGCATTTGAAAATATGTTTCATATGTCATAACAGTATATGCCAACGTATTTATACTATTTTAATTAAATAGCCCATATGTCCAGTTTAATTGGTTTGGGAAATACTCCTACTAAAAACTTATATTTATTTTTTACATTCTCCAACAATAGTTAAACTAAGAAAGAAAAATATTTTTCAGAAACATATGATTTAAAGAGTGTTATGCATATACAACGGGGAATGTAATGGCATCAGCATGATAAAATAACAAGGGTAACTACAAACTACCAGCGCTGATCACGAGCAAAGATCTGAAGGAGGAACAGGGAAGATGGGGAAAGGAACTGGAAAACATAGGTTAAGTTATTTTCTTTTGATAACGTTTACTCAAAAAATATAAAACAGTCTGAGTTTTTTTTTTTCAATAAACGCCAAGAGAATTATATTCAAAACTTTGAATTTTTGCAAATTTTAATCTAAATGGAAAAACTGAGACATAAATAGCAGATCTGGAAAAAAAATGTCTAGTTTATCCATGGTCACTTGACTAGTTTTGCTTGTTTTAATTTGTAGTGAATGTTAATGTGTAGTGAATAACCCTGTAAATTTAGTGAATTTAAAAAAGAACTTAAAAATTCAGGCAATAAGTGCTGTTTTGGAAAATAATTTCAAATTTTAGCCATTTACAGCTATAAGGCTCTATTTACACTATGCTTGACTATTTTCAACATATGTATTTAATAAAAATGATGTTCTGTTATGTCAAAGCTTTAATCTAACTAGTAAATACACTATGATCACGTGAGCATTATTGCGGTCACATGACCAAGATGTCATTTTTCCTGCAAATTTAGATTTTTTTTTTTACTTACTACAAATTCAGAAGCACCTGTTAAGTATGTAATACACTTGAAAATGTCTTGTCCTAAAGTTGATTTTTTAAAATGTTTTTATGGTTATCTAATAAAGTATTTTTGGCTCATACACTGTATTTGGCCATACTTTTAAGGTACTTTTATTATTTTAAGCTATTTTAATTTGTGTATTTTCCTGGCACTTTATAAAGAATTTACATTGGATCGTCTAATCCTTGGTGGGGATCGTACCACCAATGCTGAATATTTTGAGCAAATGTGGCTGCTTAGTAAATTGTGAGTACGATTTCACTATTTATTTCACTTTTTATTTTTTCACTATTTATCACTATTTATTTCACTTGTATTAATACAGAGAGCACGATTTTATGTCTTCTTTCTATAACATGTACTTGTGAGATTGAGGATCATAGGAACAGCAGATATCCATATGGTGGATTATGCCACCAGCTGCCCGATATATTGAGCTTATGTTAAAGCTCTCCCATTGTGAGTGTATTTTTTTAATTAATACCCTCCTCACATACATTTATAGTATTACACTATTGTTCTACTTTTTTAGGGGGGAAGAAATAACCATATCCTTGTCTACCACTGGTCACAATTAGCTACTACTCAAAAAGAATACATAACCACAGCTGGATTCATTTTACTGCATGCTATTTAAACTAGAGCTGTTCTGAAGCTTGAAGCTGTGAATGGGCATTCAAAAAGTGTATGTGATCTGTGTGCCCCTCCTGTTGCATAAATCTTTTATTACTGTTTATTGTGTATGTACTTTTGGATCAAAACCCAACTTCACTGGAAACAAGATTACTGGATGAAGGAAATTGTGGACTATATCTGGACCTTTTTTCATATTTTTCTATTCTCCTAATACGGTTTTTGTGTTTTTCGTCTTTTTAAAAAATAAAAAAAAATAAAATAATTTTGTCGTGCTCATTGGAGACAAAGATAAGACTGTATACATATCAAAACATACAGTGATGTAGACAAGTCAGCGCATAATCAGTGTATACATTTGTTTAGTACATTTTTGTATATTGAACATGAATATGCATTGTGTGTTTGTGGGGTCTACTGCAGATCTGTCATGTGCTGCAGGACGACACTAATGCCAGTCTAACCTGTAACTTGTACAGTATGAATGAGGAATTTAAGTAATAGTAGTTAGTGTTGGAATAGGTTTACTGGGCCTTCTATCCCTGGGGAGTAGTATGTGGCCGATCAGGGGAGAATAGGCCGTGTGCCCCTCTGCTTGTCATAAGGCTTACAACCATAGGTCATATACACTAGGTTTAGGGGCTATCACCCACGTTCCTGTAACAATGGGAGTAACTTTCAATAGAGTGGGTGAGTGTGGGGTGGGGGAATTAAGAGGAGACCCCTTAGCCAGCGGGTTTTGTGCGAGTGAGTATGATTCCAACGTGGGCTCATCGAGCAACCTGAATCAGCTTGCAAACTTGCATTAGGAACAACTAATAAAAGGAACATGAAAACAAGGGAAAAGATTACATGTGCAGGATCAGTGTTCAAGATATTGCTTTCGGTGCAGAGGTGTTGCGTTGAGTCAAAGGCACAAAAGGGTGAACCCTAGCGGGATCCCAGACGGTGGGTTAAGGCCGATGCGGTGTGGTTTGTGTGGCCTTTGTAATAGGAGACAGCTCCAGCTGCTGCAGTATTCCAGCTATCTCTGAGGCGTCCAAGATGTTTAAAGTCCCTGAACCACAGGGTATCAGGAGTAGTCGCGGGGCACCCCACTTGTAGGGTACGTTGTTTTTCGAAAGCTCCGTGGTGAGTGGTCTCAGAAAGGTCCGGGTAGAATGAAAGCTTGTGGTTTTCAAAGTTATATGGTGTTTTGCTGCGAATTGCATTCATGAAAGTCAGTTTATCAGGCCCATTTTGGAAGCAAATGATCACATCTCTTTGCGCTCCTCTGGTGCCTGTTGGATTTGCTGGTAGCCAAAAACAGCCGTCTATAGCCATAAGTTTGGCTTGTTTGGCAGAGAATAAAAGAGTAAACAGCCTCCTTAATAAATGTGGAATTTCGGCCGTTGCTATATTGTCTGGTAAGCCCCACATCTTTATGTTCTTCCACCTCCGGCGCCGCCACGCGGGTTTGGATCTGTGCCTAGTCGCAATTCAGCTCACTTAGTTCTTGCTCCAGGTTGGCAATGCGGATTTCGTGGGCTGCGGTGGCGACTTCAGAGTCTTGCAGACGCACCGATACCCCCTCTTATTTCCTCCTTGAATAAGGTAATGTCAGCAACTATGTTGAGCCAGAGGTCATCCAACAGGGTTTTCAGAGTACGCTCTGTCACAGGAGAGCCCTCTGCATGGGCGCCGGGTCTCTATATGCTCCTCCTCCCGACCGGTGCTTCCAGCTCTCCCTCATCAGCCAGGGAGTCTTCACTGGCTGAGCGGGACAGCCCGTCTGAAATGGGCACCATGACAGGCTTCAGGGCTGACCGTGGCCTCCATAAAAGATCGCCGATATCGGCGGTAGTTGGGGGTCTATCTGCCTTATATTTCATATTTTTACGCCCCATAGGTGGAGGAAGAGGGTCAGCACACCAGGTGGGAGGAAGGGTGGCTGTATTACGCTTTATCGTTTTTTTCTCAGGCTGGCTCGGAGCTGATGTAAAACACGTCTTGGCAGTGTGGCCGCTGGCTCCGCCCCCCCTCGTTTTTCGTCTTGTTTTGTCTATACTGTAAGGTTTTCCTGGTCTACTGTGCTCTCCCAGAATTTCAATTTGCCCAGCTGTTTGGGCAGAAGAGAAGTGAAATGTGGAAAGTGAACACATGACCCCTGACATACTATGCCTGGTAGATAGGTTTCAGTAGGCTCCTTAGAACTTTCAGTAAGGATTGCCTTTCCCTTTGAATTGAACTGACCAATGTTCTTTGTTAGCACTGGGAAGTACATAAGACAACATCATTGTTTTTAACTAAATAAAGACCATAATTCATAGTAATGACATCACCATAAAAATATCTTCCAAGCATGCTTTGCTTTGTGCACAGTAAACTGTGCGTATGAAATATTATTATAAATAAATATAGAAGGATTCCTTTATGTTTTTGCCTGATCGTCTGACCATGACAACGATGTGCATGTGGGACCAAGCTAGATACATTCAGAGTGGTTTTAATGGATGTTGCATTAGTAGTAAATTCAAGGATATTGCTGTTGCTTACCCAAGGACAAATTCTTTGCAAGATAATGTCTTTTGTTCCTCTTTTTTTCTATACAGCAGTAACATATTTCCTTTGTTGTGGGAATGAAAACCAGCCCTGGAAATAATTGCATACAAGCCCAATAGCATACAAACTAATACACTGCCCCCCCTCCCGCCCTTGCTTTTCCCCCAATTCAATACACTGCCCCCACTTCCTTCTCCCAATTTAATACACTACCCACTCCTCCAATCGAAAATAGTGCCTCCGCTTCCCCTCCCCAATACAATACACAGCCCCCCTCCCACCAATACACTACCCCCACAACCCCTAATTTAATACACTGCCATCCCAATTTATTACACTGCCCACCCCCTTCCTATACTGTTCTCCCCCATTCCCTCAATTAAATACACTGCCCTCCTCCAATGTAATACACTGCCCTTCCCCTCACTCCCCCAATTTATTACACTGACCTCCCCCAATTTAATACACTACCCTCCCCCTCAATCCCCCAATTTAATATATTGCTCTCCCCCCCTCCCTAATTTAATACATGGCTCCCTCCCCCAATTTAATACATTGCTCTCCCCCCTCCCCCAATGTAATACACAACCCCCTTCCCCAACTGAATATGTTGTACCCCCTCCACCCAATTTAATACATTGCTTTACCTCAATGAGTGTAGAAGAAAGGGGACATGCCACAGTGTTAGAGAGACCAAAGTCTGAATTATCTAAACTTATTTTATTGTCAGCCAGTCCACACAGGTTTTGTTCCTGTGCATCCCTCTTAAGCTTCCAAACTTAAAGGGACACTATAGTCAGCAGAACAACTACAGCTCATTGTATTTGTTCTGGTAAGTACAATCATTCCCTCCAGGCTTTATGCAGTAAACACTGTCTTTTCAGAGAAAATAACTCTTATGGCCACTCCTTAGATGGCTGCTAGGGGTGCCTCCTGGGGCAGTACTGCCTAGTGTGCAGCACCACCATTCAGTGTCTCCACCCTCTGCATGCAGACACTGAACTTTCCTCATAGAGATGCATTGAATCAGTTTATCTTCATGAGGAGATGCTGATTGGCCAGGGCTATGTTTGACTTGTGCTGGCTCTGCCCCTGATCTGCCTAGTTGACAGTCTCAGCCAATCCTATGGGGAAGCATTGTGAAGAGTAGTTAGGGTTGCCACCTTTCTTGGAAAAAAATACCAGCCTTATACATTTGAATAATTAATTAGTTATGCGTGACATCACATGATGTAAATCACAAGGAGTGACATAAGAGAAAATTCTGTAAAATCACCAACAAACTACTCACAGTTTGATTCTTCTGTATAGATGGATTGCTCCCAGTGTCTCCCTGTCTCCCAGTGTCTCAGTCTCGCAAGTCACCCAGTCTCTCAGTGTCCCTATGTATCACAGTGCCAGTGTCCCCATGTCACCCAGTCCCTTAGTATCCCAGTGTCACAGTGTTCCCATTTCTCCCAGTGTCCCCATGTCACTGAGACACCCGGGGACACTGAGACACTTGGGGACACTGAGACACTAGGGACCCTGAGACATGGGGACACAGACACTGGGAGACTAGGGGACACTGGGAGACATGGGGACACTGTGCCCCTATTCTCTCTGTGTCCCAATGTCTCAGTGTCTCCCAATGTCCCTATGTCTCACAGTGTTCCCATGTGTCTCAGTGTCCCCATTTCTCTCAGTGTCCCCGTGTTTTCCAGTGTCCCCAGGTCTCCCAGTATCCCCTAGTGTCTGTGTCCCCATGTGTTCCCTAGTTTCTCAGTGTCCCCTAGTGTCTCAGTGTCCCCATGTCTCCCTGCTGCCTTTCCCCCCATCCCTCACTTACCTGAGCTGTAGCGCTCCTGTCTGGACTCTCTGTGCTGTGTAGCTGCTCCCCCACAGATCAGTGAATAGTAGAGAAAGGCAGGGAGGGATATGCTGTAACTTCCTATCCCTACCTCTCTGCACACACAGTGACCAATACTGGCCGGTGCTGGTATTGCAGAGTAATTTCCGTTTATACTGAGAAAAATACCTGCATTTGTATTGCCTGTATAACTGCAATACTGGCACTGGCCAGGCAGCCTCAAATACCAGGCTGTGCCAGTAAAATACCAGTCAGGTGGCAAACCTAAGAGTAGTGTGTAAAAAAAAATGTAAAAAGAGTTTTTTTTTTTTTTTTTTTTTTTAAATGGGCCTATTCCATGGGCCTGGGCCTGGGCCTGGGCCTGGGCCTGGGCCTGGAGCTGCAGCTCCATCAGCCCCTATGTTAATCCGGCCCTGTCTGAATAGAAAACCAAAAACCTTTGAGAACTCTCATAGCGCAACAAGAATTTGATTTCTCAGCAGCATAAACGTGTCCGACAAATTCAGCAAATTGTCCTACTTATAGATCAGTGCAAGAGTGGTATAAAAAAATAATAATTGGGAAAATATGTTTCTAAGAGGTTACTAAATTCTATTATTAAATTAATGGTATTCAAAATTATAAGTATCTGTAAATTAGTTTTTATTTTTGAATATGTTGAAATTTTCCATCACAATTTTCCCTTGAGATTTTGTCTAGAATTGTTTTTTGTTTTTTGTTATGTAATATTCTTGTTACTACTAGGTTAAGTGGTTTTGATGCTGTAGATATTTCTATCTTGGTTGCTATTTTCTGATTCCAATACAATACACTTATCGTCCTAAACATCCCATTAGGTTCATATATGATTTGCAAGGCAAACAAACATGCCGATAAGGACAATAGAAAAACCAACAATCAATGTGTTATCAAGGTGTTAGGAGAACTTATATGGTAAATTGCATAATTTAAAAGCACCTTATAGGCACCGAAACAATGTTAGGTTAATGAAGCGGTTTTAGTGTATAGAATAGATCATGCCCCTGCAGTTTAACTGCTCAATTCTCTGCCATTTAGAAGTTAAATTACTTTTGTTTCTGTTTATGCAGCCATAGCCACACCTCCCCTCGCTGTGACTGACTCAGCCTACATGAAAACAAAATGGTTTCATTTTAAATCAAATTGTACATTGTGCTAATGCCTAATTTAATTTACTAAATGCATATTTCTGTTTCTCTGAAAATACATGCATGCATTCCTGCCGGTTGTGGTTTTTTTCCTGTTGATTTGAATACAGCAAGCAGTGGTTTTCCAAAGAATAATCCGGTGCAAGGAAATTTATCGACATTGTGTTCAAATGATTTATTTGCGGACAATAAGTAAATAATAATTATATAGAAAGGTACAACCTATTCTGACGTGCTGTGTAATGGGTAAACAAAACATACAAGTAATTAAGACAGAACAAATTAGATATACAAGAACAAGCAGTGAGGATGGCTTTGCTCAAAATGCAAAGGAAATAGGGTAATTAATGTTATAGTCATGATAATGCTATCTCAATTAACTGTTTAGTTGATATGCAATCCTAAGTGAAAGAAGCGGTGGGTGCGAGCCCTAAATATTAATAACGGGATAACCTAATGTCCTCCCCCCTGCCCCCACCCCTGAGCCGTGGGTTGCGGGCCCTAAATACCAATAAGGGGTGGACCTAATGTCCTCCCCCTGGCCCCCACCCCTGAGTGGTGGGTGGGGGCCCTAAATACTAATAAGGGGGGGACCTAGTGTCCTCCCCCCTGGCCCCCACCCCTGAGCGGCGGATGGGGGCCCTAAATAAAAATGTTACACCCCCCCAGGTGACTAGGGGTCCCCAAAACCCTAGTCACCCCCCCAAAAAAAAATTAACCCCCACCTACCCCCCTCAGCCTAAAAATAATGAGGGGGGGACTTTTAACTAAGTACCTATAAAAAAAAATATAACTTTCCATTTGATGATCTCTTTCTTCTAAAATCTTCTTTTTTCAGCCCCAAAAAAGGGCAAATAAAAAATCCATAATAACCGACGCACTTAAAAAAAAAAAAACGAGCGCAAAAAAAATATAATCCATCTTCACCCATGGAGGGCTCCGCACAGACTGAGCTCTGCAGGGCTGGGGAAGGCCTATAAAGCCTTGCCCTGCACTGCAATTAGGCTCAGAGCACTCTGTTTGGTGCGTTTAAGCCATCTAATCAGAGTGCTCTGACAGGTAAATGAAGAGACTGACAGGGAAGTCTCTACATTTACCTGTCACAGCACTCTGATTGGTTGGCTTGAAATCCACCAATCAAAGTGCTCTGTGTCATTTTACATAGGGTGGAAAAGTTCTTTGCAATTTTCCCACGCTGTGTAATTTGACTCATAACACTCTGATTGGTGGATTAAGTAACCAATCAGAGAGTTATGAGTCAAATTACACAGTGTGGGAAAATGGCTTTTTCAATTGGTATACATTCAGTTGTTCCCGGTTCCTTCGTCTTACGTTCTTCCTATTATTAGAGGGCTTGTCACTTATGACGCGTTCGTTAGGCTGTTGCATATTCCATTCCAAAACCCGGAAGTAACGTATACTCATATTTCGTCATAGATGACTACATTACCCATATAGCTTCAGGCAGGGTGTCATGATATTTCATATCCGGTTACACGGATATTGCAATGAAAAGTCTCTCAGTTCATATAATATTCTCAGAGACCCATAGATACATATATGTGTATCAGCATGAAGAGCAAAGATACATTTAAAATGATTAATTAGAGACATCTCTTGAAAATGAGGACATTATAATAAAAACATATATTGAAAACATTGCATGAGACCTCCCTAAATATAAAGTATTTATTTATAAAAACAGACAAAATGCTTATTCTAAACTATTTTATAACAGCTGACTTTATAAAAAATTATATGATGCAAAGTCTTCATTCAAGTCTAGTGGACTTAGAGTGTTGAGATTGAAAAATCCACTTCATCTCACACTTTCCCAGTGATTTAGTATTATGACCTTCTCGCCAGTTGTATTTCACTTTCTGGATAGCCTTGAACTTTAAGAATTGTGGATCACCGTTATGCACTTCTTTAAAATGTTTAGTGGCACTGTGTTTTTGAAAGCCATTTTTTATGTTTCTTATGTGTTCATTCTTTCTTACATTTAGGGAGCGTTTAGTTCTCCCTACATAGCATAAGTGACATGTACAAGTTAAGAGGTATATAACACTTTTTGAGAAACATGTTATCATATCTTGAATTTTGTAAACTTTATTTTTATCATGTGGGTCTTCAAATGTTTTTTATGTGTGTCTTCCTGGTTTTAGTGTTTTAGTGTTTTTGCAGGCTAAACAAAGTCCACATCTAAAAAAACATTTTTGTTTTAAAAACTTTTTGGGTAGATTTGTTTTTTTTTTTTTTTTTAAATTCTTTATTTTTTCGCAGTCAACTTGTGATAGACATTGTGTATGACATATTCAATAAAGCATAACATTGCGGTTAACCATTTACATGCAGTTGGTAGGATATCAATGTAGCCTGCGGTTTTTATTTTTATTGTAGTGTAGCGTGTTACTGCCATATACTTGCCTCCAGTGGTAGTGGAAATATATATCTAGGGCATGCATGGCCGTACATTAGCAAAAATGAGTGAGAAGTAGTGTGTCTCTAGAGCGGGCAGGACGCTGTAGGAGTGCAGCTCCATATGGTTGAGTGGGTGTTAGTGGATACTAGCGTGGAGCTGGGGGGGGGTTGGTGGTCTTTAGGGAGCCTGTGTTCCCGGGTTAATCCCGGTCGCGGCTCATTTAGGTTTGTCTGGTGGGAAAGATGGTTACGGTCCTTCCCTGCTTGCGTTGTATATATAGATGCGTAGCATTTAAGTGTTGTCTGAGTATAGGAAAATACAATAACAACTAAAAAACTTATGCTGTGCTAACTGTGCATCTGTAGGATGCTGGCCCCATGAGGCCCGTATGTCGTAATAGGTGAGGAAACAAGATTTAAACTAAAATAAACAAGAGTAAAAATAAACAGAGAAGATAGTCTCCAGAGTCAAGTATTTGCTCGGCTGGGTAAACTCCTACTCGCCGGGATGAACGGGATAGCGTTAGCCGGGTCCCAAGCTGTCGGTGCAGCCATTGCAGTGCGGTTCAAACCCAGTGTGGTCAGAGTTGCCTCGATCTCCGATGTCTCCGTCACCCTGATCTCTGTGTTCTGATGCTGGATGAGTAGCGCTCGTGTTGGGCCCCAGCGGTATTTGAGTCCCTTCGACGATAATATGGATGTGAGGGGACGTAGTGTTTTTCGCCACTGTAGGGTTTGGCGGGAGAGATCAGAATAGAAGGTGATTTCCATCTCCTCGAACCGGAACGGGGGCTTGCCTCGCACTGCACTCATAACGGCTGCCTTGTCCTGGCCATTTTGAAATTTGACCAGTATGTCGCTGGTGTTGGAGGCAGTGGCTGAGGGAGGCCTGGGGAGCCGAAACATCCCATCCAGTGTAATGCCCCTGGCTTGTTTGGGAGAGAGAAGGGCTGTAAAGAGTCTGCGCAGGCAGTGTGGTAATTCTGCCTGGGTGATATTGTCTGTGAGACCCCTGATTTTCAGGTGTTTCCACCTTCTTCTATCCTCCATGGCTGCAAGGTGGTGGCTTAGAGTGTTGTGAGCCATGGTGAGGGTGTCAATTTGGGTCTGTAGCTCCAGGATTTGGGCTGTATGTGTTGTGGTGGTCTGTTCGACTGCATTTAGGCGCCCATTGAATCCCTTAAGGTCCTCTCTAACCTGTGAGATTTCAGATGACAGACTTTGACGGAGGTCCACCAGGAGGCCGGTGAGTATTTCTGTGGTGAGCGGTGCTGACCCTTTGGCTGCTGACTGGGCAGGTTTTGGAGGCTGTATTCCCTGCTCCCCCAGATTGTGAAGGGAGTAGTCTTCTGATTCATCAGAGAAATCCTCCAGGTCCGCCGCCATGTCAGTTCGACCTGCTCCATGCGGCCCTCTCAGGAGGTCGCCGATATCGGCGCAGAATCTGGGTCTATCTGGTCGGGGTTTTTTGGTCTTCCTCCCCATCGTTTGTGGTATCGTCTGGTGCTTATTGGAGGGGGTATACACCCCGTATTTCAGCTGGTTTTAGGCGTTTTTTGCCGCTTTGTCGGAGCTCAGGGAGATTGCGACCGTTGCTGTTGAGCGCTAGCTCCGCCCCCCGGGTAGATTTGTTTTTATATGATTTTTTACCAAAATTAGTTTCAAGCTTTTTTTCTCCTCTAAACACAATTTTCGTTTTTTTTCTTGGAGAATATTCTTAGTATCGGCCAAAATTTAATCTAACTCTGTGTTTTAGGTTTATATTTTAAAAGGGATGTTCGGTCCTTGCTTTTTATTTCTTGTACCCCTTTTTTATAAACTGGTCTTTTATTTTATTAGCTTAAGTGAGATAATTATTCATATTGGAACAGTTTCTCCTTAGTCTGAGAAATTGTGACTTTGGCATGTTTTTCAGTGAGGGTGAAAAATGACAGCTATTTAGCTGTATATAGTTATTTACATAAACTGATTTAAAAAAAGTCTTGTTGTTAGTTTGGTTGTTTTCTATAAAAATTGAAATATGTAAAAAATTGACTTCTAAGTCACTAAAAATACTCGTTAAAAATGTGCCCCAATCATTATTATTTAAATGCTCTAAAAATAGGTTTAGATCTTCCTTAGTACCCTTCCAAATAAAAAATATATTATCGATATCCTGAATTTATGGTATGAGACCAGATTTACACTCCAGCCATTGTTGTGATATATAAAAGAATTTTCCCAGTATGCCATAAAAAGATTTGCATAGCTGGGTGCAAATCTGGTCCCCATAGCCGTACCGCAGATCTGGAGATAAAATTCTGCCTGAAACCAAAAATAATTATTCTATCCCCTGCATAATAAAATCTATTTGGTCTTTAGGAATTTTTTTTTTATTTCGTTAAGTAAAATTCAGTGGCTTCATATCCTTTCTGATGATTAATTATTGTATATAAGTAACTTACATCTGATGTCACTAAAATAATTTGGTTCACATTTAATTTTATTAAGAATTTGCAAAATATTGACTGTATCCTTTAGATGGCTAGCAGTTGTTTGTACAATAGGTTGGAGACATTTGTCAATGTATTCTGATAGTCTGCTGGAAATTGAGTCTATTCCAGGTGGATTTTTTTTAAATCTTTGGCAGATGATAAAAACCTGGTATCTTAGGGGTTTGTACATTTAAGTAATTCTATTCATAATTATTTAAAATCCCTTTTTCTTTTCCAGTTTCAAAGAATTCTTTACATTTTGTAATCATTTCTTTCGTAGGATCTCTTGGTAATTAAATATAGGTTTTTATATCTTCAACCAATGTTTTTAAACCCTCTGTAATATATTTATGGGTGGGCATGACTACTATCCCTCCTCCCTTATCTGCCGGTTTTATTATTCTTTCTTTGTCTTCTTGTAATTTTTTAAAAACTAGCCATTCTTCCGTATTTAAATTCATTTGTTTGTGGTTATATGTCTGAATTTGATTTATTTCTTGCATTACGGATTTCTCAAACTCAATAATCTCATCTGAGATGAGATTGTTGGGGTAGAAATTAGATTTCAGTCTGTATGTAAATATTTTGATAATGATGGTTGATGATCAAAAATGTGTCTGTCACACTTGTGGAAAAATTTCTTAAGACATATTTGTCGCTTAAATGTATTTATATCAATAAAAAAAATCACATTTGTTTATCGATCTTGTCGGTACAAATTTCAAACCTTTATTTAAAACATTTTATTCTATCTTTGAAAGGGGTTGATCTGTAAGGTTAAAAATGTTGTTGTTGATGTTTCTAAAGTCTGTCTCTTTTTTCTCTTCTGAATCCTGAGGCCTCCCCTATCTCCTCTTTTTCTAGACTTCTTGGTCTTTTTCCTGGTGACCTTGGGTGTGTTGATCTTTCTTGTATCAACTCGTGTGGGTGAGGTATTTCTTTGTATTTCTCTTTTTTTGATGTTTCCTGAAAATAACTCTCTTTTATGCGTACTGAGAGTGCTTCACAACTATTTTTGTTTGTATAAGGTTCTTCTGTTCTTTGGGAATTTTCTCTACCCTTTGTGCCACGGTTCTATGTGCCACGGCTCTATGTGCCAAAGTACCGGTTTTTATTTGTAAGAAATATTCAATGGCACATATGACTTTTAAAGGGTTGCAACATTTTATTAACAATTTTGTAAACAATTGCTCAGTATTAAAATAGAATTTGAGTCATTAGAAATGTAAGCACTCACTTTAAATATTAAGCACTGCTTTGAATGTCAGTTTATAAAAATAACATTATCTAATTGGAAAGGATTCAGAGAAGGGCAACACTAATTAATTAAGGGAATGTAGCATTTTAGTTATAAACACAGGATGCTCAGATTGAGTTTGTTTACTCTTTAAAAGAGTATCTCCTAG